GAACTACATTAGCCTAGTAAAAATATCACATTAATTACAGATATAGAAAACTAAAATTTAGTAAAAATCAGAAAAATAACTAATAGAATTCTTAATTTAATGTAAATTCATTTGATATAAAGAAAGTTATTTATTCCGTATTTACGTAACGAGTTTTTTTTTTTTTTTTTTTCCAAAAATAACCTATAAAGACTCATATTCATGTACTTTTTATTTTCACATATAAAATAATAAAAAATTATCACTTTCTATTTTTACCCGCTTATCGGTATCTTTGGAGTCCATAAAGATGTTTCCCTACTTGGGAACCCAATAGCCAATTAAACAATTAACCGACCGTTCCCGTACTCGTCCGGTAAGGGGCCCCAAATATTCCATCACCTCAATATCTCGTAGGGTATGAAAGTGAATCATATTTTTCAAACCTTATTGGTAAGGGACTTCCTAGTCCCGTCCGACTGAAATAAGGTTCACGGTAGAGTTCTCTATGTACCGGACCCGTCCGCCCTTTTCCGGGTACCTAATAAGTCCTTCACATACAGATTTTCATCAATATAACAACTAACCATGCAATACTAATATTTCATTTTATATTTACAAATCAATAGAACGACATTTAAGCAAACGATTAAACTTACCATAACCAATAACCTAGTAATCAGATAACAAGATAAATCATGCAGGAAGGAACTAATTAACCCAGATAATCGAGAAGACTATGAAAACTATCAATGTAAGCATGCACAATGTAATGGTAAGTAATTTAGGCAGTACATGAAAATAAACTGAGAATTAGGATAAATATGCATTAACCGGTTCTGACTCTACTAGTAACTTGTAATTATTTTTAAGATTTTTAAATTTTTTATGAAAATATGAGATTATCCAACGTTAAGTCTCAATTTACCGTAACGAAGAATAGGGTGAGGGATCCTTATCCGAATTAGTATTTTGAGACGTCATGCTGCCTACTACGCCTCCTAATCGGTACCAAATTTTTTGAATTTTTTCTACGGAATCTAAAACACTCGTCACGTTCTTAAAAATACCATAAAAATTCAAAATCGGTATCTAAAACTCATTATAGCCAATTTTGAGGGTCCAGCACGGCAACACCATCGATCTCCAACACCGGCTCCACCTCCCATAGT